GGTCCCCGGCCTGCAGCAGGGGGGTTGGAACTAGATGATCTTTGTGGTCCCTTCCAACCCAAACCATTCTATGATTCTATGATTCTATGACATTGGCTTGTCAGCTCGACCGAGGCAATCAGTCCCTGGGGATGTCTGGTCCTGTCAGGGCTGGGCAGAGGTGCCCCATGACTTGGGATGCTGCAATGGTGCCAGGGCACGTGTCACCAGGTTGGGAGCCGGCTGTGTCCTTCCTGCCCTGTGCCCGGGGCACATACAGCTCCATCTGCCCACTGTGCTTCACAACTGTCTTTGGACGGCTGCGTTACGTCTGCTTCCTCCTCCCCGCAGCTGTGCCATTGCATGCTGGCGGTTGGAAACCACCCCGGCCTCGATGATGTCCCCGGATGCTTGGCGGCGGTGGCAGCTGACAGTCATCTCATGCTCCCCGCCTCTTGTCTGGCTGCTTGGACCACAGAGATGTGGGCAGGGCGTAGGCGCGACGTGGAGGGGAAAGAGGTAGGGTTCCAGTGGGGAGAGCGCTGGTGCCTGTCCTGCTGCGGTGACGCACGGTGGCATTTGTGCAGACCCAGCTTGTGCAGAGATCACCTCGCAGAGATGTCCCGGCTGGTGCCTTCACCCAGCTCTGCTGCTGCCTGTGTCACCGTCCTGCTTGGCTGCATCTGGCTCGTCTCGGCCACCCAGTTCTCTCCAAGTAAGTGCCTGGGTGGGTCTGGGGGGTGATGGGGCAGAGGGGCTTCGCTGGGACACCCCGACATCATGCCCCGTGATACTTGGAGGGGGTAGCTGGGCATCACGGTGAAAGCTCAGGGCACTGTTCTGCTGCCTTGCCTGCATGTCCGTGTTGAAAACGAAAGTGAAGACCTGAAACTTTGCCACCCCTTCCCCTTTGGGCAGCAAAAATCAGGTTACTGCTCTTGTAACCTGAATTTGCCCTGTCCTCTGGCTGCGGAGAGGTGACAGAACTTGCGGGAAACCTGGTGGATGTAACCCAGGCCTCCCGGGGCCAGGCCTCCTGGGGACCACCGGGATGGAGCTACTGGAGCCGGGGGTGATGTGCAGGGGAGCTGAGCCCAGCTGTGTTTTCTGAGAAGCACAAGCCCCGTGTTTTTTGAGAAACATCAATCCCCTTTTCAAGCCAGAAAAGGGATTTGATCAGGAGTTGTTTGTCTGGTGTTCTGGGACTTTGCTGTTCTTCGCGTGCAGTGAAAAGCCTTCGACCACAGGAAGACAAGCAGCAGTGCACGGGGGGTTGAGTTGGGGGGCTGGCCAGGAGGATGAGGAGCAGGCAGGAGCTCTGGTGAGAGAACATCTCCCATCCTGGCATGGGTGGCCATATCCCAACCCTGTCCTGGTGTGGGTTTCCCATCTGCTCTTTTGATCCTGTTGGGTTGCGGGGGACCTGTTGTGCTGGGCTCGGTAGGAAATGGGACGTCGGCAGAGCCCGTCTAGGCTGCGGACGGGGCTGGTATCGCCGTGGTAGCACCACTGGGCGAGCGGCACGGACGGCGCAGGATGTGGCATGGCTCCGCACGGCGAGGGTGGCAGGATGTTAAGTGTCCCAAGGTGTCACTGCCACGTGCAGGGGGACACCAGCTCCTGCATTTGCTGGGAGCTCTGCAGAGTGGGGTTACAGCTCCTGCATGGTCCCAAGTGGGAAGGGGCAGTGGGAGGGGGCTCTTGGCCAAGCCTGATGCCTTGTGTCCTCCGCAGTGAGAGACAAAGGGCGCACCTTGATCCGCCTCACTCCACAAGAAAAAGCCACGTGTCCCAGCGCCTCCGTGGAAGTTTTTCTCAACAGCACCCTCACCACACGTCTCCTCCCTGGCCTCTACTCTGTGGTCCTGCTCGTGGGGCTGCCGGCCAATGCTCTGGCCTGCTGGGTCCTGGTGACCAACTTCAGGAAATGTTCCAGCACCCTGTTCCTGCTCAACCTGGCCATTGCTGACCTGCTCTTCGTCCTCCTGCTGCCCTTCAAGATCTCATACCACCTCTTGGGCAATCACTGGCTCTTTGGGGACTACCTGTGCCGCACCATGGTGGCCTTCTTCTATGGGAACATGTACAGCTCCATCCTCTTCCTCACTTGCATCGGTCTGGAGCGCTACATCTCTGTGAGGCACCCATTTCTGTGGAAGGGCTCCAGTTGGACATGGGGCAAGGCAGGCATCTGTGTGGGCATCTGGCTGGTGGTGGGGCTGGGCATGAGCCCTCTGCTTTTGTATCCCCAGACAAGCCACATCTCGAGTCTGAACATCACAACGTGCCACGATGTCCTAGGGAAGGATGAGCACAAGTTCTTCGTCTACTATTTCCTCTCCCTGGTGGGTCTGGGCTTTGGATTGCCCTTTGTGCTCATGACCATCTCCTACAGTTGCATCCTGGTGCGGCTGCTGGCCAAGTGGAGACGCTATGGGCAGGTGGTGCGTGTCTTGGCACTGGTCCTCCTGGTCTTCATCTTCTCCTTCACCCCCAGCAATGTGCTGCTTTTCATCCACTACATGCTGGAGGCCACGGGGTGCCACAATGTCACCTACATCTGGTACACCCTGGCCCTGGCACTTGGTGCCTTCAGCAACTGCTTTGATCCCTTTGTCTACTTCTACGTCTCCCAGGATTTTCGGGGATGGATCCGGGATGCAGGCAGCTGCTGCCCAGGGGGCCTTAAGACCTCAGTGGGGAGGGCCTTGGAGAAGGCAGCCTTGCCCCTGAGGTCCAGTGAGGAGAGCCAGCTGTAGGCAGGGCTGGGGAGGCACCAGGCTGTGTGCCCCCTGTCCCGGAGAAGGGCGATCCTGTAGATCAGTGCCCAGTACAAAGGGGTGCGCTACTTGGCCTGTGCCATCCCTGGCTGGTGGCAGACTGGGGCAGAAAATCCCCCCTGGACCTGAGGTTTGTGGGGACTTTACCCCAGTTTTGCAGTTCTTCTTCAGGATTTCCAGGCGTGACCTGCTCCCAGCATGCTGCCGGTGCAATGTGGCTGGTGGTACCCCCATCCCGTGGGTCCACCAGCTGGGTGCCCAGCACCTCCCTCACCACTCCTCCTGCAGTGACCAAACCCTCCAGAGTACAAATAAACCTTTATTTTTGCCTGCTGGTGGAAGGAACAGGTATAAATACCCCAGCCGAGCAGGAGCTGTCCTCCATCGCCAGGACTACGTGCCGGGCACACATGGCCAGCCCTGCTCCTGTTGACCCCCCTGCCCCCCCCCAAAAAAATGCCATGGTAGATGCAAGAAGGGAAGTGGGGGATGGCTTGGGTGTCCTGACCCTGCCTCACAGGTCCAACGCTGGGGAGGGGACATCGTGCTGTGTTCCCTATGCTGGCAGTGTCCGCACGCCCCCCTGCCTGACACTGCACCGTGCTGCTGAAATACGCAGGCAGGCTTTTGCTTTCCCTTTTACTTGCTTCCCTTGGCACTGGGCCTGATGGCATATGTGCCACCCATGAGCGAGAGCATGTGTGGCAGCATCCCCAGCCCCCCTGAGAGGGGGTACCACCCTTCAGCATCCCGGTCCCCACTAGTCCCCTGGTCCTCACCGGTCCCCACTCCCAGCCCGGATCAGGAGGAGGAGGAGGGCATGGGCTCCATGGTGTGGGAGCGGGGGGTACCCATTGTCGCTGCCACCGGGCACGACTTGACCCCCAGGTTGGTGGCCATCCCTTCGGCACGACGGGTCACGTCACCGGCTGTCCTGGCCCCGGAGGCTGGCCCTCATTCTTCCTGAGAATGACGCTGCTGAGCTCCTGGATGAGTTTGTCATTGATGGGTGAGGGAGGTTGCATGTTCCTCTTCCTGGGGATCTCCAGGGAGGTGTCTGTGCTGGGACTGCTCCCTGGCGTGGCTGCCTGGTCCCAGTCCCTGGCCAGCACCAGGGAAGGCTCCATGTTCCTCTCCAGAGAGGCTGTTTTTGTGGGTCTGAGCCCCTGGGCTGGAGCTTTGTCACTCTCCAGGTTCAAGCCCCTCTCGAGGGACAGGGCTTTGGTGACGGAGGGAACCGTCACCCTCTGGGCTGGGTTGGAGGGCAGTGAGGAGCGCAGTGCCGTGGCCGGGGGCTGCTCGGGGAATGGGGCTGGCTTCTTGGACCTGTCCACGGGGGGCACGGCCGACAGGTCTGCCAGCAGCTCCCGCCCCAGCTCCAGCGCGGCCAGCTCAGGGAAGTTGCCCACCTCCTCGTAGACAGGATCAGCATCCACCTCCTTCTCCTGCTGCTCCTCCAGGGAGTCCTGGTGCATCTTCATGGGCTGGGGGAGGGCAGGGGGTCAGGGTGAGGGGCACTGCCTGCACTGCTCAGCCATACCCCTCCGCCCCCCCCTCCCTGCACTCAGGCACTGCCCAGGGACCCTTGTCCCCTTGATGTGGGGCTGATGTCCGCAAGGCACCCACCCTCCATCAGGTCTCTTTGCTTAGGCACTGCTGCACCTTTTTCCCCTCCATCGCTGATGGAGGGGAAGTGTTTTGGTTGCTACTGAGGCACTGTCCCTGGTGCCAGGCTGTGACACCTGCCCAGCATCCCTTGGCAGAGGTGGTCTGGGATGGGGAGGGCAGATGAGTGCCCATGCAGAGCACAAAGCCAGGAGAGGTGAGGTCCAGCCAGGTGGCCCCCACAGAAATAACGTGATGGTGAGGAGGACCCAAACCTATTTCCTTGCATTTCTTGTGTTCAGCCCCTCTGGGCAATACGGGAGAGGTGCTGGGACCTGGGCTGGACTGTTGTGGTCTTGCTTGCATGCACCAGGACCATGCAGGGACCCTCTGCTCACACACAGCAATGGGCACCCCCTCCTCTGCCACACGGTGTGGGCAGGATGGCCTGAGCATGTCTCTGCAGGTGAGATGCTGCAGGTGAGCCCTTGCTGCCGTAACCAGGAGGCACGGTGCAAAGCCAGCAACGGACGCGCTCCATGCGTGCGGGTACTTACAAAGAACATGGACAAAGTCCTTCGCGTGTGCAGGCGGCGCTAGAAACAGAGGAGATAGGCAGAGGTAAGCATGTGATAGCATGGAGCAGGGTCATGGATGCCTTGACAGGCAGAGGACAGGCAGCAGGGCACAGCACCACGTGTGCCCACATTGCCCTGCACGCACGGAGAGCTGTCATGGACACAAGCAGAGCATGCAGCACGCGCACACCGCCGAGCACAGGGACACACACCCAAAGCATCCATCGGTGACAGGTGGCGTGCACCCACCTCCGGGGCCCTGGGGTGGGTGCATGGCCTCAGGACAGGTGCATGGACCTGGGTGGGTGCAGGAGCACCCGTGAGCAGGGGTAGCTGTGGGGGCTTTACCAGGGTTTGGTTGGCAGAGAGCATGGTGGCGTCAGTGCTGTCCCCATGCAGGGGCACCAGCGGCATGGTGCCAAACTTCTGCTTGGCAAGGTCGGAGGAGGAGCGACGGCGCATGATCACGGGGCGCAGGTCATCATGCTGTGCACAAGGACAGGGCAGGGAGGGGGGTCATTCCGGGCTGCCCTGCCAGCCCCCTCCCCTCCCGTCCCAGCCCAGCCCAGCCGCGTGGCATGGCCAGCCTGCACCCACCTGAGCCTTGAGGATGCTGGTGGTCCAGTCCCACAGCTCAGCCTGCCCTGAGCACACCAGGTACCTGCAGAGGAGTCATCTGAAAAGCTGCTGGGGAGTAGGCCCAGTGGGGTCCACATCCCCTTGTCACGTTGTCTGTGAACCCAGGGCTGTCAGGTACAACTACACCCAGTGGGGCTGCACTTCCAAAACTCTCTGCATGCCCAAATCGCTGCTTCAGGGCAAGGCGAGAGCTCGTCGGGCACCCATGAGGCACCTCAGCTCAGCTGTCCTTGCTGCTCTTAGAAGAACATCTCAGGCGGGGTGCTCAGCTGCTGCCCCAGCATCAGCAGTGTCAGGGGAATGGGGACAGGATCAGCAGGGAGCATGGGTGTGCCTGGGCAGCCAGTGGAGCCAGGGAGGCTGGAGCAGGGACCCCAGCTCATTGTGGGAGCATGGTGCAGGACCACCTGGTGTTGAGTGCGTGGGGACACAGAAGAACATTGGGTAAAGGCTCACAGGCAGCATAGCCAGGCAGGTGACATGCACACCTGGGCAGGACCCTCTGGATCCTGGTGCTGGATGCTTGGAAAACGCCTCTCCCAGGGGTGCTGGTGTGGATGGGGAGGTAGGAAGGGTGTGTGGTACGGAGATGGAACCCGGCCCCCACCTTGTGCCAGGGAGCGTGTGGCCACACCAGTCTGTCCCTTGAGTGCCCCAGCCAGGCAACAGCTCTGCCCTGACCCCCAGGGCCCTGTAGCACTGCCCCTGGCTGTCCCAGTCCCACTAAACTTGGGGACAGGTCTCAACATGCCCCCCTCCAGCCCCAGGATGGCAGGGACAGATACTCACAGCTGCTGCTTGTCCAGGGTCAATGTGAAACCCCACCTGGGGAAAGGGAGAGACAGGCTGTGGGGCAGCACTGCCAAGCTCAGACACCCCCCCTGGGTCTGTGGGCAGTGGGGTGGGGGGCTGACCTCACCCCATGGGCCCAGGCTTGTCATGGCTTTGGGTCCCGGTGGGTCTTGGCATGCTCCCAGGGGCTGGGTTTGGGTGCTGGGGGCCAGGGAAGGTCCCACTTACTGGGCTGGTGGCTTCAGCTTCTTCCTAATGCCCATGTAAACCTTGGCTGCATCCAGGGGCCACTCGCGCTCTGGCTTGGCGCTCTGGGAAAGGAGATCCATTGGGTCAGCCCAGCTTGGTGCCAGCCTCCCAGCCAGGAGGACAGCCACCACTGTCCCCAGGCTCCTCCTCCCCGCCTCTCCTCCCGCCCTTGGGGGCGCAGGTCCATCCCTGCAGCATCCCCTGGGTACCCTCTTCTCCTTGAGCAGCAGCAGCCTCCGGTCCCGGATGACGAAGTAGCGCTCCTGAAACTTGTTCCCCAGCAGCTTGGGGGGCTCCTCACGGCATTTCAGCAGCCCACACTTGGGGGTCTCACGCTTGGTGCCTGCCCAGAGGGAGGACACTGGGGTCAGGAGGGCTGGGGGCATGTGAGGGTGGCTGTGGGTCTCAAGGATTTGCCCCTGATGGCTGCAAGGGGAAGCTGGGACAGAGCTGTTTCCCTCTGGGGACATCCCTAAGGGCTGGGCCCCTCTGTGATTGCCTTACCTGTGAAGAGACAGCTGCCCTCACCGATGGGGACCTTCCTCACCAGCAGGTATGCAGCGCTGGGCTCTGGGAGCTTGCACCACTGCAAAGCCTGCTCCAGCACCTTCTCCTTGGGGTGCAGAGGCCGCTCTGGGGAGGCAGGGACACTCTTACCACTGTGTCTTCTCCACTGTGCCAGTTCCTGTTCCCCCCTGCCACTGACAGCAAGCTGACCCCGTACCACAAACCTCCTCCTCACCAACCTGGTTGTGCTGAGAGCATCCCCCTGTGCCGTCCCCACCATGCTCACCCAGCTCCCCGTTCTCCAGGGCCTCGAAGGTCAGCCAGATGTCCAGGCTGGCTGCCACGTTGCGCATCTCCAGCACCTGGTTGGTGAGCTCCTCTGCTGTCATCGTGGGGGACACCTGGGACCGGACACATGGGGAGCTGCGGTGGGTGGTGGCAGGATGGGTCCCAGGGACAGGCTGTGCTGGGAGCCTGCATCCCTCCTTGTTTCCTCCTGCACGGCCATCCTTTGGGACTCACCTTCAGGGTGACGCAGCAGTCAGGCAGCTTCTGCTCCAGGTAAACCTCGATGATGAGGTCCCCTGCCTGCGAGAGCTGGGGGAAGAG